TCAAGTCTTTCCCAAAGACCTGGGATATGCAGAAGTTGTTTGAATATTATGGTTGGTCACACAGTAAGCTAGATGTCTAGACTGGATTTGGCATTTTTATCCATCTATCGAGTATTATTATTATTATTATTATTATTATTATTATTATTATTATGTCTATATTATAGTAATACTATTTTATGTATGTATATTTTTTTCTGTTGATTAGTTTAATGTAATTATAGAAAAAAAGAAGCTTTTTTCTGAGTGTGGTGGACACTAACATTTTTTGTGACTGACTGAAATACCAAACTTTAATGGATATAATTTTATAATGACCAAATAGCTTATGAAAAATATATTAATATTCCATGAACTTTATGGCCTGTTCAGATCTTTGAATATATTGAAATAACCTACCTGTTTAGTTACTCTATGACAGCCTTCCTCAACCTTTTGATCCTGGAGGAACCCTTGAATTACTTTTCAGGCCTCGGGGAACCCCTACACATTCAGGCTGAAATATAGGCCAGAAGTTACAAACTTATTATATTAGTTTCATGTGTACACCTGTATATGTGTATTAATAGTGTTCCTAAACTAAAAATAAAGAGTGAAGCTTACCTCTTTAATGTGAAACCTGTGCTTGCTTTTTGCTGCACAAATACTCAATTCTGAGCCATGTACAAAATTTATTTAAAATAATGGGATAAAATAACTACAGGAAAACAGCAGGGAAAATATGTGGGAGGGAGAGAGTGATGTCACAGACTAAGTTGGACGAGTCCATTATTTCTTGAAAAATGCACTTCTCCCTCCCTTTCCTGAAATATATTCCTCCTTTCCTGAAATATATTCTTCCCTCCCTGCCATATAGCGTTCACCTGTTATCAACGGTCTCCCCTATTTAGCATCAGAAATTAAGAATGGATTTAACCAAATAAACACAGTCCCACAGCACACTATCAGAATGCTCAGAAAGAGTTGTAACTAGATTTTTGTTTGGTCTCTGCTCATTACTGAGAGAGCTCATTGCCTGAATTTGAAATAATTGTTTAAATAAATCATGATGATCTCCCAGGGAACCCGTAGTCACCTCTCATGGAACCTAGGGTTCCACAGAACCCTGGTTGAGAAACCCTGCTCTGTGATGATAACAATTTTTGCAGAGGGGTGTTTTCATCCAACTTCTTCAACCCCCCTGCTTTTTTTTTTAGCTAATAGTTTTTGCAGTTAAACAGTTCACTATATACCAAATTATAACCAAAAATTATAACAGTTCACTATATACCAAATTATAGTCAAAAATGTGGCTGTAATCCACATTTAAACAAAAGCTGCAGAAATAAATGCACATATAAAACATTATGTTCATTACGCATACTATAGCACATGAAGCATACACCTGGGTAATAGAGATTTAAAATCTACTGGTTTGAAGATAACTAAAAGCTCAGTGTATCTTCTAGATATTTCCAGGCTGTGAGACATTTCCTTTTTGCCTGAGTTGACATGAATGATGCAGTGACAGCGTAGTAAACTTTTGTTGCTTCGTTTGCAGCTCATACTCCAGATAACAGTTTTCTTGGGTTTGTTGTGGAACAGCATCTGAACTCCAGTGATATCAAGCACTTCAATGTCATCAAAAGGCAAGATCAATCACTTGTTTACGGAAAAGTTGATAACTTCTGGAAGGTGAGTAGCTATGTTAAGCAAATTTGTTTCGGTTGAGCATAACAAAAGTTGGTGACGTATAATTTGATAATACTTTTTAAGACTTTTCTGTTCAGGAGTTTTGGGTCAAAGCAGTAGTTCCCAGTATAACAGTGTCATCATTCCTG